GACGGGCCGGGAGCGGGGCCGGTGTCACCGGCGGGCAGGACGCGCTCGTCCCTCGGCAGCGCTCAGCGCCAACTGCACCCTGCCGGCACCGCCCCGTGGCAGCGGAGCCTCGGCCCGTGAGCCAGAGGCTCTGTGGGAGCTCCGCGCAGCCTTATCTCGCGTCCCTCGTGGCCCGGCTCCGCCTGCGGCTGTGCGCGGCGGGGAGGCGGTGGCCGCGAGCGGGGACCGTGACGGTGAGGGACGGGCGGGAGCCGCCGGGCTGTCGGAAGGCGGCGGTGGGAGACGGGAGCGGAGCGGGGAGCTGCCGGTGCGCTGAGGGTGGGCTGTTGTTGGCGAGATGAGAGATGCGTGGCTCGCGTCGCGTCGCGAAGGGCTTTGGCGAACGGCTGTGGCTGAGGCTGAGGAAGCGGCAGCCCCGAGGCCGGGCCGGCCCGAGCCCCTCTGCGTTTGTGCCCACAGCTGCAGCCGCACCATGCTGCGCTTCCTTTGGGACAGCATCTCCCTGCAGATGCTCTTCGTCTTCCTCTTCGTCTTCCTGCTCGTCTCTGACTACATGAAGAGGAGAAAGCCGAAGGATTTCCCCCCCAGTCCTTTTGCCCTGCCATTCCTGGGAAACGTGCAGTTTATGATTGCCAAAGACCCCATGGCTGTGACACAGAAGGTAAGGGGCTTTTTTACCTGCTGAAGGGTTTTACCCAAGCAATGCAAACTTAGCAGTGCTCAAACTCTATGGTCCACAGAGGGCTCTCTGGGGGTGGGCTGTAGTTCGGCCTGGAATGAAAAAGCAATGTAGATTATATTAGCCTTGAACACAGATCCACATCCTTTGGGCAAAGGGCATGGCACAATGCCATGGTTTTGATTGCAGCTGTAGGTGCCTCTGATGGGAGGGGCTTGTGTGGAAGGAGTTAAACAGCATCAGGAAAACACTTGCTCAACTGAGTCTTGCAAAGCCTGGAAAATGCACCCTGGAAGGTTTTACCCCAACTTCAGAACAGTGATAGAGGACACCAAGAGAAAGACTGCACACAATCAGGACAAAACTTATGCAATTACTCTACTTCTCCCAGTTTTCCTTCCTGTTTGACTGCAAGTGAAACTGTTCCTCACTGTGAGTGCAGGATACCAGGGCTTTCCCTCTGCCAGCAGAAAATTCATCGCGTATCAATCCTTCTTTATTTCTTTACCTCATACCCAGATTATTGAAAAATATGGAGACATCTTCAGCACACATGTGGGCAGCATGTCGTTTGTGATCGTAAATGGGCTGCAAATGATCAAGGAAGCCCTTGTAACCCAGGGAGAGAACTTCATGGATCGCCCAGAATATCCTGTGAATACAGAACTCTTCAGCAAGTTGGGTGAGTTATCAGTGGAGTCACAGATCTGAAAGACAAAGTCCAAGCGCTGACTAATGAAATGTGCCAGAAGGCAATGCTGTGACTTTGTATTCTCACAGAGCAGAGTCACCAGCATGGCTAAGTCTCCTTTATCCAGGCAGATACTATCCTGCTTCTTCCTCTGACTGAGGGCATCTGTCTTGGCTCACTGTGAAATGTTTCTGCAGGGCTGATCTTCTCCAATGGGCACCTGTGGAAGCAGCAGAGAAGGTTCACCTTGACCACCCTCCGAAACTTTGGCCTGGGGAAGAGGAGCCTGGAGGAGCGGATCCAGGAGGAGTGCCGCTTCCTCACGGATGCGTTCAGGGATGAGCAGGGTGAGGACCACTTCCCTCAGCAGTTGTGCTGAGGGCAGAATCCATCTTGGACCGTTTTAATTTTCCCCATGCTAATGCCTGCTGAAAAATCATAGAACCGTAGAATCATTAAGGTTGGTAAGATCTCTAAGATCACCAACACCAACCCACCCTCAGAAAGCCCACAAACCACGCCCCTTGATGTCACATCAATGCTTTTCCTGAATGCCTCCATAGGTGGTGACTCTACCACCTCTGTGGGCATCCTGTTCTGATGTCTGACCACTTCTCCTTGAAATTCTTCCCAATACCTGACCTCAACCTCCTGTGAAGCAATTTAATGCCAGTAGCTCTCATCTTGTCACTGATAGCTGGGAGAAGAGGTCGACACACACCTTGCTGCAACCTCCTTTCAGGAAGTTGTGGAGAGCAATGATTTCTCCACTGAAACTCCTACAGACTGAGCAATCTCAGTTCTCTCAGCTGGCCATCAGAGTTGTGTTCCAGACCCTTTACAGCTTTGTTGTCATTCTCTGGACACACTCCAGGGCCTCAGTGTCTTTCTTGAAGAGAGGGGCCCAAAACTCAACTCAGCACTCAAGGTGCAGCCTCACCCATGCCAAGAACAGTGGGAAGATCACCACCCTGCTCCTGCTGACTGCACTGTAGCTGACACAAGCCAGGGTGCCGTTTGCCTTCTTGGCCATGTGGGCACACTGCTGGCTCACCTTCAGCCAGCTGCCAACTAACACACCAACATCTTCTTTCTCCTTGTCTCACAAGCAATGCTGGTAACATGCCAGCATCCCAGTCTCCTCTACAGGTGTTTTGCCCCCAGATTAACTGATAGATAGCTGTGTAACACTCAAACCAGTATTCTTGCCCCACCTTTGTCAGATTGCTGAATTTGAGACCTCTAAAAAATTGCATGGGCCTGTCAGCACCAGTGTTCACAATTAATTCCTATGGTGTTTGCTTTTCTGAAGCCATTTCAAATCTTTCTTTCCAAAGTAAACAACCATCTCCCAGAAGGTGCCCACTGAAAACCACTCATTTCACTTGTTGACTATTTTCCCTCTTACGATTTCACTTTCTTCTCCTTTTCTGTGAAGACATGAAGAGAATTGATTATTTCCTTTCCTTCTCCAGGAAATCCTTTCAACCCTCACTTTAAAATCAACAATGCTGTTTCAAACATCATCTGTTCCGTCACCTTTGGCAATCGGTTTGAATACCATGATGAGGACTTCCAAAAGTTGCTGCGGATGATGGATGAGAATGTTACCCTCCAAGGGAAGATAATGAGCCAGGTACAGCTCACCATGCCCACTTTTACCTTTCAGACTGACCTCCCCTGACACATATCGCTCCCTTGGATTCTGTTGCTGTCACCACAGAGCAGATTTCTGCACTGCCCCTCCGCTCCCGTGATGAGGTGCAGGCCGCCGTGAGGTCTCCCTTTCGTCTTCCCCATGTTGAACAAACCATGGAACCTCAGCACTCCTTATATATTTGCCCTGCAAAACCGTCTTCATAGCACTCCTTTGGATGCTCTCTGATCATTTTAAATCCTTACATGTTGCAGCAAACAAAACTGCATACACTACTCAAAGGGAGGCCATCACCAAGCGCAGGGGATGGCCAAGCCCAGAAGTTTCTCCCTGCTCTGGGACCATGAGATTTTCCATGGTGCTTCCCACAGCTGTGTGGCTGTTCTCCATCCCTGCATGCATCGTTGTGAAGATGCAGTCCCCCTTGATTACAAAGCCAGGCTATCCCCTGCTGGTTTACCGGTGCCTTTGGAAGAAACTGAATACAGCAGAGGGTTTGGTCAGGTCCCTAGGAGTGGTTATGGGAAGGGCTAATGCTAAGGTAATATCCTTCAGCCATATTTTCAGGCTGTGCAGCATTCACGTTCCCCTCTTTCCCACCTCATCACCCCATCTGATCTCTTGAGTGCCAAGTTCCCTGCTGTGACTGAGGAATGCACGAGTCATTCTCACCACGGAGATATCAATCCTTTGTCATGTTCCTCTGGAGATAAGTTAATTCCATCTACTCCAGCAATGAAGGCTTGTGGCTTTGCAGGCTTTTCAAGTCTTAAAAACAGAAGTGATTTTTCAGTGTGTTCTTGAATTTGCTCTTCTCTCTTTCTTTCCAAAGCTGTATACAATTTTTCCGTCCATAATAAAATACTTGCCTGGATCTCATCAAACCGTTTTGAAAAATGGGAAGCTCATGAAAAGTTTTGTGTGTGAGAAGATTAGCAAACATAAGGAAGACCTGAACCCCACAGAGAGCCGAGACTTCATCGACAGCTACCTGCAGGAGATGGCCAAGGTCAGCAGTGTGAAGCAAGCCCTTCCTTCCCCTGTGGGGACTGGAGATCAGGAGGGCTGAGAAACAAACCAAATTTCCCACCTGAGCTGCTGGTGTGTCCATATGTGAGCTCAGGATGGACATCAGGTTTGGGGCATCCACTGGAGGGATGAGGATACAGCTTCTGCCAAAAGCCTTGGGGCAGAACTGTGTGGGGTGTTGAGGAAGTCCTCGCTGGTCTTGTGGCACTAACACTTGATTTTCTGAAGCCCAATGGCAGTGATTTCTGTGAGGATAACCTGGTAGAATGCACTCTCGACCTGTTTTTTGCTGGGACTGAGACCACCTCCACAACCATCCGCTGGGCCCTGCTGTATATGGCCATATATCCAGACATTCAAGGTACAAGTAGCAACAGGGCTGTCTGTTTCCTATTTTTACCCCTTGTAGCTCGGTGAGGGTTTATCCGAGTTGAAAGAAAAAAGTGGAAATAGTCTGTTCTCCAACAGATTCAGTGCAAGTACTTTATTTTGTTTTCAAGTGTTTCCCTTCAATGTTTTAAAACTTGTCCTTGTGATTTTATTCTTCTTCTTCATGGGAGGAAGAGGCAAATGTACCCATATGCCCCACAAGCACCGGAGACCACTGTGGGCTGTCCAGCAAAGGCAACAGGGGCTCTGCAAAGGGTCCACTTAGTGTCTGGAGTGATGAACATGCAGAGAGGTGCCAGAAGTCCCCTGGTGGCACATGATTGCCCTGGGATGCTCCTTTGGGGGACCCTCACAGCAAAAATGTCATGGTGTCCCTCGGGCTTCTATGGCTTTGCTGTACCATAGCTGATCCCTGCTCTTTCCAAACAGCCCGTGTGCAAGCCGAGATTGATGCTGTCATTGGGCAGACACGGCAGCCAGCCCTGGAGGACAGGAACAAGATGCCGTACACCAACGCTGTCATCCATGAAGTGCAGAGGAAAGGCAACATCATCCCTTTCAACGTGCCGAGAGAGGCAATGAAGGACACAGTCCTGGCTGGTTTCCGGGTGCCCAAGGTAAACCTAATTTGGATCAGTGAGGTCTGAGCAGGAGACTTCCATCTCCGCAGTGCTGCAGGAGCAGAGATGCAGCATTGCTGCCTCTCACAGAGGTCACTGCTGTGGATCATGTTGTTTTGCTCACCCAACACTGCTCTCCAGCACACTGCATTCTCCGTGCCCAGGGTGAATGCCATGAGGTGCGGCATCCATGCATAGCAGGGAGGGACAGAGCCCTCAGCATGCAGCTTTTTCTTAGACAAACTTTAACAGAAGGTAATGTTCATGTCAGAAAAGGGTGGGTCTAAACAATCAAGAAATAGGAAAACATGGCCAGGCAAAATGAGTGCAAGACGTGGATTTCAGATTTGTCTAACAATGATCTTCATGTCAAGATCACAGGAGGGTAAAAATCCCACTCTCATTGGCAGTGGCAGGGAGAGTGCAAAGTGATTTTCTTTCTCTTGTACCAGGGCACTATTTTGATCCCAAATCTGTCCTCTGTGATGTTTGACAAGAAGGAATGGGAAACCCCTCACCTTTTTAACCCCGGGCATTTCCTGAAGGACGGTCAGTTCTGGAAAAGGGAGGCTTTTATGCCATTTTCTATAGGTAAGATAGAATCAGTTTACTGCAGTCTGATGCATCTGTGCTGAAGCACTGGGATGGGGCTTCCAACTGCACAGTGGAGAACCTGAGCTAAGCAGTGTTGGAAACAGGAGATGCTGGCTCCACCATGGCAACGACTGCTTGCCCACTGCCCTCATCAGTGCATAGTAGATCCTTTCTTAGCAGTGACCTTGCAGGCTCCTCAAAGAACCACTGCCACCTCTCAGGCCTTTCTTCACAAACACGGGAGACTACAAAAAGGCCCCAGAAATGCATTCAGAAATGCAAGAGCAGTGCTCTGTGCTCCCAGTAATGCACAGCTGAGGTCAATCTGCTTTGCCACCACCACCACAGGGTGCCCTGTCC